ATATTTATCTTAATTTTAGTTTTTAAATGACTTATTTTTGGTTTATTTTCAGTTTTCAATTTTTGAGAGACTCAACCAAAACCAAACCGAAATATATTCGGTTAATACTAAAACAAAAAAATAAAATAAAATCAAAAACTATTACAACCGAACCAAATTCATTTTTTTGGTTCAATTTTCGGCTAAACCATTGATTCGGTTAAAAAATGCCCAGCCCTAGTTAGTATTCACATTTCACTTTTTTTTAAATTCCAGGTTTGTAGGAATTTTTTTATTTTAGTATTATGTATTGGTAGGAGAATTCACATGCCGATTTCACTAAAAAAAAAATGGAAAAAAGAAATCCTCACTTGCGTCGCCCTTCTTTAGCCCCTTTTTAGCATAAATTGTCATAATAGAAGATGTCACAAATACAATTTTAACACGATTTTAGAGTAAACCATCTTAACAAAGGAAGTTGTCAAAAGCAATTTTTTTGTAGTGCTTGGATGTACTTTTAAAATTGTTTAAAACGATATTGGTTTTAAGTAGATAAAAATTAATTTTAGAACATTTTAATGTTTTAAAAAAATTATTATCTACAGTTAGCTAAAAGTTTCACCTTCAAAAATTTTAGTAGGAATAAATTTAAACACATCTAGATAACACGTGAGATTACTGTATATTCTTGCCGAGACTCAAGGAGGTCTGGTCTTTGGTATTCCTTACTATTGCATGACAAATGAAAATGTTTGGTAAAAATTTTAAAAAAATTATTTTAAAATTATTATTTTATCTTTCATAAATTTAAAATTTAATTTTGTTATAAAAAAATTCAAAAATTGTCTTTAAAACCAATTCTAAACAAATTTTAAAAGAATTTAAATGTATAGTTTTTTAAAATTTAATAAAAAATTTACTTTAAAAAGTTAATTTTATTACCTTTCTTTAATAAAATTTTAAATTTATAAAAAATAAATAATAATTAAAGCAATCACTTTTTAAGTCTAGTCAAACAACCTTTGGATAGATGGCTAGAAGCGACTTAATATTTCAGCAAATTACTTTTAACCCATTTGAAGTATTTGAGAAGATTCATGTTAGATCTTTTTTGTGTTTGAAAGGAAGAGCTAACAACTTTGCCTTTTCTTTCTATGACTAGTGCTTAAATTCAAGTCTATGTGCAGAAAATGTAAGATGATCTGTAATCGAGGGATGAAGGACCCCTTGTATTCCCTTCTAGAAGTATATTTCTTTTGTTGATAACGAAAAAGAGTCTCTGATAACATAAAAAAGAGTTAAAAAAAGAAAAAGAAAAAAAGAGCTACGTAGTGGATCGTGTGCCTTATTTGAGTTGTTCCATTCCAGGGCGTGGTTTGGACTTCAGTTATGGCCACATGAATAGTTTAATAAGTATATTTAGTTTGGTTGATTTTATTAATTTGTCTTTGAATAATAGTCGTTTTTTATATCTTATAAGAGATAAATACTTTTTTTTACTTTAATTTTATGATTATTTTTTAATTTTAATTATCTATCATCTAATATAATATTTTTTTATTTTATTAATTTTTTAAGATAAAATAGATTAAAATAGAAATTATCCCCAAAACGTTAATTTCAAAATAAAACTAAAAAATATTTATTATTCTAAGATGAAAGAAGTAATATATAGCATATAAGCAAAATTGATGGCTTGAATCTGTTGTGGTGCACTTAAATGATTAAGAAATCATTTGAATCATATTGAGAATGCAGATTGGAATTCTTCAAACATTATTTAGATGCAAAGAATCTTAGTAAGTCATACTCACCACTTTTAAAAGTAGAGTTTTATTTAATAATATTTGTGAATAAAGTAATTTATCAGTATTCATACGATTAATCAAATTAAAGGCCTAAATACTCATATTATTATTTTTTTAAAAAAGAAAGAAAACTAATGGCTTGAAATTTTGGGCCATCCAAATCACAACAAATTATCAAAGTGAGTCCGAGCATCTAACACCTTCAGGTTGTATTTAGTTTATGGTAATGACCATATTTTAGTTGAATCATAAAAATTAAGTAAATTTAAAAAATTTCTTTAGGAAGTTAAGAATAGTTAAGTTTTAATGTTAATATTTTACTAAAGTAAGTGATGATAAGTGATGTGAACTTTCGGTATTGAGATTGGGTGCCCCTCGGTTCACCAGTATGTCAAGGTTACATAATTTGTTTAGTTTTTATCTTAATTTAATTATTAAAAATATTTAATAATTAATGAAATAATTAATATTTATTATTATTTAATTAATAAATT